ATACTCGTTCTCAATCTGTTTTGCACATAACATTAAGATCATTAAAAAGGACAACTTCGAAAGGAACATAAATGAAAACAAAAAAAAAAATGTAAACCTGTGAGAGTATGATAGGTCCTCCTTGAGAAGCATACAAGTTTTCCGATTTCATCAGCTTGACAATCATTTGTGCATATCTCTTCATGTGATACTGCAAATAAAACGTAATTCTTTAGACCATAGAATTACGGAAGCCATCTGAGTTCAGTAAATTAATTACCTTGAATGGCTCATTATCTGTCCTGAAGACAATCCCTTGAACATTATGCAACCAGAAAGGCAAACCCCTGTAAAGTGTATTAAAAAAAAAAAAAAAAAAAAAAAAAAAAAAAAAAAAAAACTTAAATTCCACGAATCTTGGTTTAACCGTATCGGAAAATCTTAACGATCTAAAGACGGGAAGAGCTTACCCATAAGACCATTCCCCTTGGATAAAAGGTCCAATCCGAAGACAGACATATAAGCCGTGCGCTTTTACTTCCTTGATAAACTTCACGATATCACGGCGTCCACTGAAATCGAACTGTAGATTCGCAAAAGACATCAATAGTATAAACTTATACCTACGTTCGTCTGTATAGAGACGGAGAGACTGACCTGGCCTTGTTGAGGCTCGTGAATGTTCCAGAACACATATGTGTCTATTACATCTATTCCTCCAGATTTTGCCTTTGCTATCAATGACGGCCACATCTGCAAGTTCGACTTCCCATTACTATTTGCAGACGAAGAGATCCCGCCAAAGGCCAAATCATATAGAAATTGGAAGTTTTATGCGATTTCAGAACATTTGGGGTTGAATAAGAATAAATCAGAAATAAGAGTACTTTGTCTCGCAAATTCGATAAGTTCAAAACGGCCTAGTCGAGATAAAGACGATTTTATCCTCATTCTCTCTCTCTAAAGTCTAAACTCTAACGGCTCACGTATTTCGTCTTCGCAACCTGCCGCCGACTTAGTGTGCTAATTCACGTGACTGATCGGCGCGATTTCGCCGGGAAATTGCAGGAATTATATTCCGGCGACGTTACGAAACTTCTAAAACGGATCGGAGAGAACGGAGAGAGAATTACCTGAGGAGTGCTGCGAGTATAATGGATTGATCCGGAGAAAAGGATCTTATGTTGGCCGTCGATGATCAGCGATCTCCCGTCGTAGGTTACGTTTGCGGCGTCTCTGGCTACGATAACCGCCATGAGAACGAAAAAAGCTAGCGAATACTGAAAAGTCGTCATTTCTTATGTAAACACTGACGTTTATGATTCTAGAGAGTTTTATAGTTTGGGACGATGCACAACTAACTGTGCAGTGTATCTCACCATCGTCTCGAATTTATGCGAAATAATAAATTATTTTTTTGTTTTTTTTTTTAAATCCGGTTTTTTTTGATGCAATGGAAATTGCAGTTAAAAGCCCAATAATGGCGAGGCCCATCAAAAAGCTGAGTCAAACAATGGTGGAAAATGGAAAGGGAAAAATGTCGTTAAAATCCCCAACTTATTCAAAACGTTGATTTAAATCCTCAACTCATGATGAAACAAAATAAATATCAAACTTATGTTGACTTTCCAAATAAATATCAAACTTATGTTGACTTTCCAAATAAATATCAAACTTCCGTTGACATGACCATATTAGGTACGACGTTAAGTGGGTTAATAGATCTCGTTAACAGAGTTAATTTTCTGTTAAGATACATGTTAATTGATAACGACATCGTTTCATATAACAACAAAACGACGTCGTTTTATCGTAACGATTGAATTAAATCCTTAAAGTCAATCTTAGATCCCCAAATCGAGCAAAATCTCTAACCCTAAATCTTCATATGATTTGAAACTCGGGATTTTATTGAGCAGTTACGACAAAACAACATCGTTTTATGTTTAGAAGGAATACTGTCATTTTTAATTAGCGGGTCTGTTAACAGAAAATTAATCTCGTTAATATGGTCTCTTAACTCACTTAACGTCATGCCTAATATGGCCAAGTCAATGAAAGTTTGGTGTTTATTTGGAAAGTCAACATAAGTTTAATATTTATTTGGAAAGTCAATATAAGTTTAATATCTATTTCGTTTCGTCGTGAGTTGAGGATTTAAATCAACGTTTTGAATAAGTTGGAGATTTTAATGACATTTTTCTCAAAATGGAAATCTCTCAAAATCCAAATCCGGTTAGAAATGGGTTTGACTGGTTTCGGGTCGCAGTCGAACCGGTTGACCTCGATTATCATTCTGGTAGTTGAAGACTTGAAAACTGAGTCGTCGTAGCACGTGTTGCACGTGAGAAACTTCCCGCACAAAATTAGACACTTTTAGTCTGAGATTCTTGGGTTGAATCTCCAGAATCCATGGATCGTGCTTTAACTTCCCGTTTTGATACTCTCTCCCCTTTTCGATACCGACATAGGAGCTCTCTGACCATCACTCGACGATTCGCGCCGGCGATTGTTTGCGCGAAACGATCTCCGATCGATGGAGTGAGCGACGAGCTGAATCTGATCGCTTCACAGAACTTCGATCAAGCTCCCGCACGAAGACGAGCCCGTTCTGCTTTTGTTGACTTGCAGCTTCAGCTGGATCACTGCTTGTTCAAGGTTGCATTGATTCTTATTTTAATAGCTAAATCTAAAGATAATCTCCCTTCTAATAATTTGAATCTGGTGACAGAAAGCTCCGATTGGAATCAGAACAGAGGAGGTAAGCAGTGATTTTGTTTATTTGTTCCATTCGAAGGAGATACAAAGTCAAAAGTAGTAGTTTTTAAATCTTTCTTTGGTGTATAATGATAGTGGTATGAGAGAAATTCGAAAGGGGAACAAATTTTCTGCAAGAGCTGGTTGCCGAAATCCGGCGAACAAATCAAAGCTGCGGTGTGTTTCTGTCATGGCTATGGCAGCACTTGCACTTTCTTCTTCGATGGTTCGTGTTTGATATCTCTACTTGCATCATTTTGTTGAAAGGCTCTTCTTTTATATGTGGGAAAAACTTTGGGTTGTGTTACAGGTATAGCAAAGCAAATAGCAGGTTTTGGTTATGGAGTTTATGCTATAGACCATCCTGGTTTTGGCCTATCAGATGGTTTACATGGTCACATCCCAAGTTTTGATGACTTAGCTGAAAATGCTATTGAACAGTTCACCAAAATGAAAGGTATATCCAAATTTTACCTGTTATTGCTTTTGTGTTGAATCTTGCTTTTGGGTTTTTCTCAAGTGGTATGATTCCTAGGGAGACCTGAATTGAGAAATTTGCCCCGGTTTCTGCTCGGACAGTCAATGGGAGGAGCAGTTGCCTTAAAAATTCATCTGAAAGAACCTCAAGCTTGGGATGGTCTTATCCTTGCCGCTCCAATGTGTAAGGTAACTCTCTAACTATTTCATTTGCTATGCATGTAATTGAGGTCTGGAGATTTGTTACTCAAATCTGCAAATAGATTTTTAGTGCCTGGAAGTATCTGTATTCACATTTTACATCACCTAGTTACTTAGTTCATGTTTGAATTGAAATACCTGACCTTGAGTTTTCTCAAGATTTCAGAAGATGTAAAACCTCCTCCACTGGTCTTGAAGGCGTTAATCTTGATGTCGACACTATTTCCCAAAGCGAAGCTCTTTCCAAAGAGAGACTTGAGCGACTTCTTCTTCAGGGACCCGAGTAAAAGAAAATTGGTACTTTCTCAGAGAAAGTTTCTCTTAGTTTTTCAACGGAACACTCTCTGAAGCATTTTTGCTAACTTCCTTGTTGATGATTCTGTTCTCTGTGGATCAAGTGTGAGTACGATGTGATTTGCTACGATGATCAAACACGTCTAAAAACTGCTGTTGAACTTCTAAATGCAACAAGAGACATTGAGATGCAAGTTGACAAGGTTAGTTGCAGAACCAAAGAAATAAAGAAAAGTTCTGATCATAGACACATTTCTCATAACTTCTGTCTTTTCTATGTTGCAGGTCTCGTTGCCACTGTTGATACTTCATGGAGACGCTGATAAAGTCACAGATCCCACTGTGAGCAAATTCCTTCATGAGCATGCAATCAGCCAAGACAAGACTCTAAAACTCTATCCAGGTGGTTACCATTGCATTCTAGAAGGTGATACAGACGAAAATATTTTCACTGTAATCAACGACATAGTTGCTTGGCTCGATGCCCGCGTTGCTCCCAAGTAAAGTGAGATTATATCTCCACAAACATATACTCATTATTGTCTTCTGAAAAATGTCGAGTCTCTATGATTAATAACATCCGGAAAAAAAATAAAGATCTGTGGCTTACAATGAATACACAACCTTGGCCCTTGCTTGCTTAGCTTAGCTAGTGCCTCTAAAGCTACATCAGCCGCATCTTTCAAACTGTAGTTAGTAGTGTTTGGGTGCACATAAGTCAGGCTCAGAATCAAATTGATGACTGATTCTCTCATTTGAACCATATTGCTCTAAGAGATCCTAGAAATCTTGTGTTCCATTTGAGTGTTATTTTGTCAATGGACAGGCCCGGTCTCAAGCACAGACAGAGGAAACCATACATACGAATGGCAGGAATTCCGAAAAACGCTGTCCACGGACACCGAGTAATGACTTCTGTTATCCGAAGATACCAAATGTACCATGGTCTGGGGTGAAAACAAGACCGGTATGCACGACAATGCACTCAGCTAACATTGCATCAAATGTCAGGCGTGTGAACGAGTCCCTTGGTGAACCATGGACCGAACCATCACTTCTAATACCATGAGCAGGTCGGGGTACCTACATTGACCAAATAAGTAGAGTTTGAGGACATCCCCAGCTTCTATGTAGTTGTTGTGTGAATCAAATTAAAACATTTTCTGACCAAGACAATTAAGATAGATACTCAAAGCTCCTAGAAAAAAGTAAAGCATATCAAGAAAAAACGTTAAAAGACGTAAAAGGTCATCTGAAAGCCCAATAATATCGAGGCCCATTAATAAGAAAAGAAAAAAAATTGTCTAGAGTTTCGTCCAAGCCACCACCCTCGACTTTAAAAAGTTCTCTTCTCTTGCTCAGATTTCTTCTCCGATAGGAAAACTCCCAAAGTTTCACTCTGTAAAACCCTAATTTTCCGATGTCGGTAAGTGTTCCTTCCCGAATTCTTCTTTCAATTTCGAGGTTTTGTTTGTTCAGCGCAATGATTGATAGTATGATTTGAACGATGAATGGATGGACATTGTGGTGATTCAGATCTTCGAGTACAATGGAAGTGCCGTCGTAGCTATGGTAGGGAAGAACTGCTTCGCTATAGCCAGTGATCGGAGGCTTGGTGTACAATTACAAACCATCGCTACCGATTTTCAGAGAATCTCTAAGATCCACGATCATCTCTTCATCGGACTTTCCGGTCTCGCCACCGATGTCCAGACTTTGTAAGACTATTCCATTTTTCATATGTTTCCTCCCAGAATTTTAGGTGAATTACAAAATTTATGGCTTCTTTTATTTGTTTGGCTTTGGGACTGAAGGTACCAGCGACTCGTATTTCGTCATAAGTTATATCAGCTTCGGGAAGAAAGAGACATGAAGCCAGAAACTTTCGCTAGTCTTGTATCTGCCATTCTTTATGAAAAAAGGTTGGTGAATTGTCTTCTTCTCTCATTTGTAGTTAGTTTCTAGTTACTGATTTCTTATGATTTATGTTGACATGCCACTACTAAGTACCAAATTCTTCATTTCAGATTTGGCCCATTCTTGTGCCAACCTGTGATTGCTGGATTGGGAGATGATAACAAACCCTTCATTTGCACTATGGATTCGATTGGAGCCAAGTATGCTCGCTTTCTTTCTTTGCTGCTTCTCCTATTACTTAAGACGTTATTTCTCATTTTTCATATGGAATGCCATTTAATTTGGTTAGCCAGTGTGTGTATTCCTGCAATTTGGTAGGTGAGTTAGAGGGATCGGCATTTTGGCTTTAGTTTGAATATTGTTTTTGTTTTTTGTCATTCAATGCAGTGTATGTATTTCATATGAGTGAACTTATTTTGCATGTGCTGAGCTGTTTCAAATTAGAGTTCTAATATAGTTGAGATTTTACTGAACATGATAGTTGCAGTGGTGAGCATGCCTTGACACATGTTCTCTCTAAATGCAGGGAGTTAGCTAAAGATTTTGTTGTCTCTGGAACTGCTTCAGAATCACTATATGGTGCCTGTGAAGCCATGTACAAACCAGATATGGTATGTGCCTTTTAAAAACTTGTTTTTCTTACGTATTAACTGGAAACTCGAATGCTTGTTGCTAAGATCCCCTGAAAACTTGGTAGAATCGTTCATATGTAAGTACTCTAATATAGAATCTTGATTTGGTGGGAATAATTGTGTGCATTAGTGCCAATGATAGATGACGTAACTCCAATAATTTTCTCTCGAATATTTTGATTTGGCTTAGGGTTAAGGTGTTTCAGTATTGTTATTACTCCCCTGCCATAGTATTGCGTAAATAAAGTTTGGATTTCAAGGTCATCATTATAAGAAGTGCATCGTAAATAAACTCGAGATAAAATGAAAAGCATATTATATAACTCTACTCAAAAAATTTGATTTTCAGGAAGCTGAGGAACTGTTCGAGACAATTTCACAAGCACTTCTCTCTTCAGTTGACCGCGATTGTCTTAGTGGGTGGGGAGGTCATGTCTACGTTGTGTAAGTTTTGTTCTCCTCATCTTCTTCTTCTCTTTTTTTTTCTTGTCATATCTTGCCTCTCATAGAACATGCCTCTTGTAAACTTGTCTACCAAGGATATGTATTATATAACATAGTAACTTTTTTTCATGGTGATGTTATCCAGAACACCAAATGAGGTCAAAGAGAGAATCCTGAAGGGAAGGATGGATTGATCTGATATCACATATCTGCTTTTGTCCAAGTTCGGTTTACTCCTTAACCCGGTTAAGTAGAAGAACCCTCTCGTCCCACTCCCATAGTCTGTTCCTTCTCTGAAACTGGATATTGTGGTTCCTTCGCTTGGAATTATTTGCAATTGATAGAGTTCAAAGAAAATGAAGAAATAGCAGTTGTTGTCTTGTTCCAGTAGTCGACCATTCTATGAACCTTGTTGTTTCTGGTTTATATTCATACAAGTGTTCCATATTTCTGGTTTAGTTTTCAAGGTTGGTGCTGATTAGCAGCACATTGGGTGATTAAAAAGAACAAGAAAACAACACTTCAATATTTAGTGGCTAATTGTTTTGGATTAACACGAGCCGAAATCTATTGGTAAACTAGCAACTATCAATAAACGTGATTTGGGTATGGAAACCATAAAATAACTATGAAATCAACGTTGTTTGGTTGGTGATCACTAGTATCTACAAATAGAAACGACTCTAACCATAATGATGATCCTGAATCCCTGACGCTGCTTTTATATTATGTGACATTGTGAATGATTTGCATATGTCCTGTTTTGTTTGTGGCGTTAGATTGAGCCAGAGCGGCAAAATCCACACGCATATGCGTTTTAATTTGATGATTTCTTATAAAACGTGGCATGTCCAATAGTTCAGGTCGTTACACGAATATAAACCAAATCCTGCCGACCTAACTTATCTCGGTGGGTATATGGGTATTCATATATTTAAGGTTCTACTTGGGCAATCATTATCGATGCTCGTAAATTCATGCATATAATCATTTTGATTATAATTCTATGAAACCATCCACATCCTGTCACGTGTCTAATTCTTGGGTCACTTTTTGAGCTTTTTATCAAATTCAACGTAACCCACCAACAATAAAAAGCGGCAAAACTAACATTCCGGCTCCACGTGGCAAAGATCCAAGCGTGAATCTATTAGGTGGCACAGGCGGCTCGAGATGACGTTATCTTTGTGGACTCCAATCCATTAGAGAAAATGACAAGAGTTAAGTGGCGTTAGCATAAGTTAATAACCAGGAGCTGCTTTTTAAAAAAGAAAAATTAACAGCCACGATTCCTTTTTCGCCTTTAGTGTATGCTAAATAAATAGACCTCTTCCTGGTTATAAAGAAAGAAACTTAAATCTGTCTCGACTCTCGAATTTGAGTTTGGATGCGACGTTTTACGTAGTAGTTTTTGTAAATTTAAATGTCCTAGACCTTAAATTTCTAAAGTGGAATGTAATTTACACACACACACAATTTATACACAAACAATTGTGGAAGCAAGGATTTAGTATCGATCTTTAATGGAGAAGCATATGTCCGAAGAAGAATCATTACTTTTTTAATTACGGCGGAAATAATGTACAATAATTAATTGACGTTCGTTTAAAATAATAATTCAATATCGAAAGACGAAAGTAACAAAGCCTTGAGATCTCATGAAGAAATCAATGAGAGAGAAATAATTTTGAGATACGGTCAACGTTTGGTCTCCTTTAGGAAAGTACACGCGTGAGATCGAACGTGTCGATTCTTATCGCTCTTTCCCAAAATCGACATGCTCTCGGACCGCTACATTCCAAATAGTCTGACGTAAGCAATGACAAAACTTAAATACATTACAGCCTGCCACGTGTCCCTGTCCATCTAGTACAATGAATCCTCCACTAAACAAATTTAACCATTTTTGTTCGAGATTCCTTTCCACCAACACAAAGCCCCTGTCTATCTGCCACGTGTCCAAGCTCTTCTTCTTATATAAGGCATCTCTCTTCTTTGCTTGAGAAGTTTCAAACATCTTTCTAGTTGTTTCTTGCTATAAACAAGTAATAACAACAATAAAGGGGAAAATAGGTTAATTATGATGAAATCTGGGGCTGATTTGCAATTTCCACCTGGATTTAGATTTCATCCGACGGATGAAGAGCTCGTCCTCATGTATCTCTGTCGTAAATGCGCGTCACAGCCGATCCCTGCTCCTATCATCACCGAACTCGATTTGTACAGATATGATCCTTGGGACCTTCCGGGTACGTTAGTTTTCTTTTTGCCCTTTTAACTCACACAATGCAATAACCGGTTTAAGTATGAACAAACCGAATTTCAATTTACAGACATGGCTTTGTACGGTGAAAAGGAATGGTATTTTTTCTCACCAAGAGATAGAAAATACCCAAACGGTTCAAGACCGAACCGGGCAGCTGGTACTGGGTATTGGAAAGCCACAGGTGCTGATAAACCGATAGGTCGTCCCAAACCGGTTGGTATTAAGAAGGCTCTAGTGTTTTACTCTGGAAAACCTCCAAATGGAGAGAAAACCAATTGGATTATGCACGAATACCGGCTCGCTGACGTGGACCGGTCGGTTCGCAAGAAAAACAGTCTAAGGGTGAGTGATTTATTCGTTTCCAAACCGAAATTTTAATATGATATTGAACCGGACGTGTTTTTGATATTCTTGAACAGTTGGACGATTGGGTACTGTGTCGTATATATAACAAGAAAGGTGTCATCGAGAAGCAACGGAGCGAGAACGAGTTAAGGGCTGTGAATGACACGTGTCCACCGGAATCTGTGGAGAGATTGATCGCCGGCTCGGAGCAAGTGGTGTCACAGGAATTCACGTGTAGCAACGGTCGGTTGAGTAATGCCCTGGATTTTCCGTTTAATTACGTAGATGCCATCGCCGATAATGAGATTGTCTCACGGCTATTGAGCGGGAACCAGATGTGGTCGACGTTGGATCCACTTGTGGTTAGGCAGAGAACTTTCTGAGTGTCACGTGCGATGCGAGTTAGTGGAAACTATCACTGTCCTGTCTGTCATCGCACGTGCCGGTTTGAAACCTGCCTAGCTGATCCAGAAGGGAAGTGGCCAGGTTGGGCTTTTCAGCAACAATTGGGCCTTGGCTTTCTTCTCCTTTATCAAGACGGGCTACTGTGTGTGTGTATCCACAAAGCAATATCATCAACTGTTCTGAAATAAGAAAATTTAGAAATTCATTTTAAATCTGTTATATATTCTTTGAATGATCTTTTCGACTCTAAACTACAATCTAGCTTTTTTATATAAAAGATATTATTAACTAAAATGCAAACTAAAAAAAAAAGGGAGAAATCGGAAGATAGTACTAGTGTTGGGATTATTGGAGGGAAGCTCGAGATCCGATTTCACTGACTGCATGGTATCGGAAAAGTGTCGGTAATGGTAGGGTCTGACAGATAACAGTCTTATCGTTGCAACTTGCATTCAAACAAATCTCATTGTTCGCTTTAATTCTAATTAATTTGTTTTTGTCTTTTGTATATTTACTAGGATATAACCCGCGGTATACCGCAGGTTAAAATATTTTTATTATTTATTAGTTATGTATAATTTTGGTTGTTATTTGTGTGATATATAATTCTTTAGATCGGTTGTGTATGACTTATAGTGAGTCGTAAATTTACCATATTAATAAATCTAATATTTTGTTGTCTTCTATATGGTTTACTTAAGAATTTTGGTTAGGATTTAACCTGTGGTGTTATGTGTTTCTTTCTATATAATAATTCACTATTAATTAAATTTTGAAATTTCAATTCAAAAAAAAAAAAATTCATATAGGTGTATTGTTTGGTCATTGCTGCAACTATTTTGGACACATAATTAAGTTATAGATGTATCATTATCTTATTTGCCTAAGTTATAGACACATAATTACATATTTTTTGGTATCATGTGATCAAAATAAGGAGATTTACAATTTCATTATAATGTTATTTTAATTTACAAACACAAAATCTTACTATTTTAGCTATTGTATAATAGTGAAAATAATGTATAAAGAAAGTCAGGGTTGGCATTAATGTTAATATACTCGGAAGATAGTGTTTTATATTTTAGATTATTAATTTGTTAAAAAAAAGCAGAAACCTAAATCGTAAAAGAATAGAAGAAAACTCTCTTTTCTCTTCTTGACCTGAAAAAAACAAAAAACACAACTCTATCATCAATCTCGATCTCTTTCAATTGTCTTCCTATATCTTAGATTATCATCTGCAATTAAACCCGAGAGCTGAGAAATTAACTTAAAGAGATTCTAATTTGCGAGTAACTCGAAATAAATGTCAGATCCAATTGCCAAAGAGAGAGAGCCGACAACAACAGTTCGTCTCCAATTATCAAAATCTGTTTAGTCGTAAAGGTGATTGAGAAATTAAGGAAGAACGATTCAAAACTATGCTCGGCGTGAACGACAGATCCAATTGGCCAACAAATTAAAGAGACCCGAGTACAACGTTTCGAATCGGAATCCAAATATGTGGAGTCACAGAGGTAAGAGAATTTAATTGTTCTTCATGTAGTAATCATCGATTTTTTGAACATCAAACTCAAAAATTGCTTGTAAATAGGAGGTTGATATTGAATAAGAGGTTGATATTGAAAAAAGATTTCTCTATTTGCCAATGTTCTAGTTTCCAATCTTAACATTTTGCTTTATCGTCTTTTCTAATACTCCATAATCATCGTAGATTGATGTCCACAGTCTAGAAATGGTGGATACTTATGATATAGATTTATATAAATTCAAGTAGTGTGTTTATTATCCGATTTCAGAAATTCATCTGCACACAACTGCACATAATTCATGTAGAAATCCAGTTTTTAAGATTCGAGACAATATATCTTTCTCCAAAAGTTTATAAGATATAACCTCTTGATTTTGTAAGAAATTTTGTAAAACACAATATAAACAATCGTCCAAGGTTAACAAATTATTGTGTTTTAGATTAGATATAAGAACTTAACGGTTTTGTCCTTTTTATATAGATTTTATAGTTAATATATTCTTATTTCTGATTTCCACGGATTCTTAATTAGAAAATATATATTTCTAAATGAAACTACCATCTACTCTTACAAAATAAGAGTGATACACAATCAAAGATTAATTACATTCTTGTCAAACGATTTTTGTATATTTGATTGATTGCAATAATGGTTTTAGGACCTTATATCATTTTGTTTACATTGATCTACATTAATCATATGGTTCTCTTTGCAGAGGATGCTAAACACGATTTTTTTCTCAATGAATTTCAAAGATGGAAGTCTGCTATAATATCTTCAAAAATCATCCTAAGGTTAGTTGTATATCTTGCTATGTTGATTTTGTTTTATCTACTAATACTAAGTTATTTTGTTTTCTTCATTACACAGGATGACTTTGCTAATACTCTGAAAGATTTTAGTATGCTAGAGTATGATACCAAGATTTAACAGGTTAGTAAATATATTAAGATTAACTACTCTTTTCATAAAATCGACATTAAATCGTTTGCATTAGCAAAAGAAGGCTCCAAATGTGGGGAAAATAGTGTATTGAATAACCAATTAGATTGCTACAAAAACCAAACTTATTTCTAACATTGTAAACCAAATAACCGGTAACTGGAAAACTTTGATAGGTCTGAGATATAAAAGAAAATTAAACAAACCAATAAAAATATGAAACTTCAACTCCAAAACATAACACCAATTCACTCCTCAATCTTGACCTTAACACCAAACAGCTTCTTTGAGTCGACTTTCTTCTCCGTAATGTTCACATCTTCTTTATCCTCACCATCATTGATTTTAGGAACCTAACAAAACGACAACAACAAAAAATTACCAAATGTGTTATTAGCTTGTTGATTTGGTCAAACACATCTAAAAAAAATAAAAACAAAATTATTTAGTGTATATGTAGTTCAGCTAGTAATCTATTTTAACACTAATGTCGACAATAACCATAATTAAACTTAAAAATACTTACCAATCAACATGTGAGGATTAAGATCACCACTCAAAAATTTTTGAATCTTAGCTAAGGATAAACAGGTGGAATCTGATTTAGGGTCATTGTTACGACAGTTCCATTTAGAAAACCATCTTGTAGAGATGATTGGTTGGTCAGAATTGTGCACTTGTATGAGTAAGATCAAAGGTCGCAATGAATCTCCATTCACCAAGCGGTTGATGATTCACCTAACGTATGGATCTTAACACTCTAAACTAAAAAGGAAAAACAAAAGCTATTAGAGATGAAACATGAAACAAAGAAAACAGAATTAGTAATGTTAATATAAAGGAGCAAGTAATAACCTTGTATCGTGCTTGGTGAGATTAGATGTTACGAATAAGGTTGTATTTATAGTGTTTTGAGAAGGTGTAGGGTTTTGGTGTAGTTAATAGAGCAAATATTTGATATCTTTAGAAATCTTTAAATAGTCACAAACAAAGAATATGCTACATTGATACTTAATCAAATAAGGATAAAATCAATTAGTTATGAGACATTTCCAAATCTTTTAGTTGGATTGAATATCTAATTTATATAGTTTATTTTATTTAGGAAACAAATATTATTTGAAATAAACTCATTAACACTTTAATAGGAAACCATTTGTACCAGAAAAGATTTATTAGTTATAAATACATTTACGTTTGATATCTTTCTAAAATTAATTGATTATTTTCGTAGGATACACTTATATACTCCCGAAATCTTTGCTAGTGTTTTTGGAAAGTCTCATAAGTAGAAGTGTATTGATTAATGCAGATCTTTTAGACATTGTTAGGATTTGGTTGTTTAGGGAAGTATTGATAGCTAATATTTGGCCGAATTCCTTGCATTTTTTGGCAAGTATCATTTAATCGGATCCGAGAGTTTTAATGTGTATTTGAGTCGGGTCAAAAAAAAATCCGGGTCAAAATCTTGTTAAAAACCCGACCCGATTGGAAATGAGCAAATTTGTACTTCAAAAATGTTAAGTAGATTTGATTTTGACACGAGTTTATCTTTCCTAATAAAAACCGAGGCACGATTAGTTAAACCGGTTTGAATTGTTTTGGTTAAATCGGAGGTCAAGTCAAATACATCGCTAATATCTAACGAAAACGACGACTGAAATTTCGTAAAGTTCCTTATAAAACTGATCTAACTATATCTTCTACAAGAGAAATAAAATAAAATTGATGCATTATGAAATCACAAAAGTTTTAACTCTTCATGATTTTATAGCTCATGAAATTGAATGATGTTTCTTTTATTGATGTCCTTACAAGTTTCATATCACAGGTCACTAAATAGAAATAGTTTTGAGTAGATGACATAAATACTATTTCAAATGAATTTATCCTTCATCTAATTGTTATGCGATGATTATTTCCTATAACATGCTATTTATGCTATTTTCTATATGGTCGTCTTGTTTAAATTAACTGCGCAATTCTCATGTTTTCTTAAGATGCTATTTGTTACAGGTTAATCAAGAAACGTGTGAGAGTATATGGGGTCTCTAATCTATATCTTAATCTTTTAAAAGTGAAATGAAATCAAAATTAAAAGCTTGAATGTCATAGTATAAAAGAATAGTAAAGTAAGGGGACCAGACATATTTGTTGCGAACTGGAAAAAATGAAGACAGTCAGTCTCACTAGGAAGTGTGGGGTTTCAAGTCCATGTTAGGTCTGTTTGTTGTTGCTCTTTCAACCTTCCCTTTCAATTTACAACCAATCTTTCTTTACACTTTATACTAATTTATTATTCATGTTTCCAATAGCACTAAAACAGTTTAAAAATCATAGGCAGCTTCTTATTTATTTATTATTGTTTCTACTAAATCAGGAAATTTTCTAATCATAGAAACAATATTCTAAACAGTGTAAATCTGTTATCCACATGCATAATGTTGTGTTTAAACTCGCTTTAGTCACAACCAAATTAGTGATTTCTCTCTAATTAACCGATGTATGTATATATGAATACTTATATAAGAATCATTCAATCTTCAAACATATCATAGTTTAACAAAATTGAGCCGATGGATCAAGATGAATAATATTTGTTTATAATTAATGAAAATCTATAAAATGAAATAGCTAGCTGGCTATATACATATTCAGTGCATGTTTATAACGTAGACTAATTAGTCCACGGCTCGCTGCCCCATTTGGAATTAGGTTAATTGTCACAACATATATTATGGTTAAATGGTTCAGAGTTAATAGACCGATCATATAGTTGAAAAAAAAGACTTGGTCAAGACACAAGATGAAGATACATGGACACATCATTGTCCATCCTGCTTATAAAAATACAAAAATACTTAAAAACGTTTTTTTTATATACCTTTAATAGAACAATTTTAGACGTATTTAAGGTTTAGTTTAATTTTTTTTCCGGTTTTGGCATTTCCAACCTCCAATACTTTGAGTACAATTCAAACTTATTTTTTTCTTGGTAGGAAGGGGAGAGACATTTTATCAAAAAAATAAGAAATACGAACTACTAACGAACGTATCTAGGACGCGAAGTTCCAACAACATCTTCTAACAGAACCGAACGAACAGAGTCCAGGGTAGTATTGTTCATCAAACTGATAATACAGAAAAAATGAATCTCAAAAATTGAATAAGATAAACTCAACAAACTAGAGACCAAGACAAAGTTGACATTGAAAAAGTCTAAAATTTATGTGTTTATAAAAACTAACCATAATCCTATCGTTTAGATTAGACGACTTTATATGCAACGGTAATTCAGAATTCTACCCAAAAATCTAACTCACTCCATTATTATGGATGCCGTGGAAAATTCAACAAACCAAAATTTTCAATCATATAAATACTTTTTCAACTGACGTCAAAAAATAAAAAAATTCATATGTGGAAAAAATATGAATTTGATATATATATATATATATATATATATATTTATTTATTTTGGTAGGAATATGAACATATTATGGCACTCAAATGTAGTTTATAATACAAGCTTTTGATGAGAGAAATTGGATTATTGTGGGCAATGTAAGAAAATAAGATACGATAATTAAAAAAAATGGTAATTAAAGGAAAGTAAAAAAGTAAAAAAATAAAATAAAGGGACTGATCTCTTGTCTTTTCTCTCTGCTCTCGTACGTTATTCTTGGTCATTGGAGAGGGAGGGTAATTATTCACCATTTTTGATTTGGACAACGACAAACGAGAAAAAGGTGATTTTCCTGGGAGCTTCGTCTTCTTTTAAAATCGCAATGCTCGTGTACTATTTCTCCAATTTCCTAGTACTATTGCTATTCTCCAATTGATCCAACGAAACTAGGAATCCATTCTTTGTTTTTTTTTTTTTTTTATTTGCCCTAGGATTCTGTGATCCATGGTCGCTGATTCTGGAAAGGTCTGTTGCTTCTTTTGAATTTCCAGAAGCGGAACTTTGCAGGTTAGTGTTTTGGTGGTGTTACTTTGAGCGGAGAGATGGATTCTGTCTCGGAACTTTTATCCCCGGCGCCGTTTGGTGATTTTACGGTGATGCGGATTTTGAGTTAGAAGCGAGGCGGAGTGACTGATTTCGTAGCTTTCTTCTGCACCTTCCACTAGGTGTGTAATTTTCTTCTGTTGGGTTTTTGGATTCTAATCCTGCGATTGTAGCATTCAAATGTTAAAGGTCGTTTATTTGGCATTGGATGCCTTGTATTTGAGAATGAAGAGATTTCACATAGTTGGGGATAGATATAATTGAATTAAAGATAGTTTTTGAATGTTTGGTAAGATTAGTCAATTGCTATGCTTGCGGTTTCGAACTTACTTACCCATGGTTTCTTCTAGGAAACCAAAGACTGCAGCTAAAAGAGTGTTTATGCAGATGTTGAAGGCCTTCCTTCCTGGAACGCAGGAGGAAACATCATCTTCTTTGCAGTCTGGGTAGGCACTTTCTATTTTTTATAAGTATCTAGAGAATAGTGTAGCAAGTTCACCATGATGAGGCAGTCACCAAAATTGGCCTACTAGCTTGTCACTTTGTTTCGAAACTGCAAGTTTTTGATATTGCTCAAAGTTTTATTTGGTTTAAGGTTACTGGTAAACATAGTTAATTTTCAATATTTCTTGTCATTATTTACATTATTCTTTCTGTTGTCCTGAGAAATAAAAACGGAAATCATTGCTTTAAATGTGCAGGAAAGTCCATGCAAAAATGGAAATGGACGACCCAGAGAAGGCAATGGCTACAGTTGCTCAGCTCATAGAGCAACTTCATGCGAAAACATCTTCTCCGCAAGACAAAGAACTCACAACAGCTCGTCTACTAGGTATTGCAAAAGGCAAAAGGGAGGCAAGAAGGCTGATCGGTTCGTATGGCCAAGCAATGCCTTTATTTATTTCCATGCTTAGAAATGGGACGAGTATGGCCAAAGTAAATGTCGCTTCAATCCTTTGTGTTTTATGCAAAGACAACGACTTGCGACTAAAAGTTCTTCTAGGAGGATGCATCCCGCCATTACTCTCGGTTTTGAAGTCTGGAACCATTGAAACTAGAAAAGCAGCCGCAGAAGCTATATGTGAGGTTTCTTCTGCTGGAATTTCCAATGACCACATTGGCATGAAAATATTTATCACAGAAGGTGTTGTGCCAACATTGTGGGATCAACTTAGCCTGAAAGGAAATCAGGAGAAAGTGGTTGAAGGGTATGTTACTGGAGCTTTGAGGAATCTTTGTGGCGTTGATGATAGTTATTGGAGACTGACACTAGAGGGTAGTGGTGTAGACATAGTCGTGTCTCTTTTGTCATCTGATAACCCTCATTCTCAAGCAAATGCTGCTTCTCTGCTGGCTCGTCTAGTTCTGTCCTTTTGTGATAGCATCCAGAAAATATTAAATTCTGGAGTTGTCAAGTCTCTGATACAGCTTTTGGAACAGAAAAATGATATCAATGTTCGTGCTAGTGCAGCAGATGCTTTGGAAGCTCTTTCATCAAAATCCGATGAGGCTAAGAAATGTGTCAAAGAGGCAGGAGGTGTTCATGCTCTCATTGAAGCCATTGTTGCTCCATCGAAAGAGTGTATGCAGGGAAAACATGGACAATCTCTACAAGAACATGCAACTGGAGCTTTAGCAAATGTGTTTGGTGGGATGCGCCATTTGATTATATATCTTGGAGAAGTATCACAATCCCCACGTCTAACGGAACCAATTGGTGATGTAATTGGAGCCCTTGCCTATGCTCTAATGATTTTCAAACAACCAGAGAGTTCGGAGAAGATATTTTATCCAAGCGTGACAGAGAGCATTTTGGTAAAGTTACTAAAGCCTCGTGACACAAAGTTAATCCAAGAACGGATCTTAGAGGCTATGGCGAGCTTGTACGGAAACAGTAGTCTATCGTGTTACCTAGATGATGCAGAAGCTAAGAGAGTTCTTATCGCTCTCATAACCATGGCTTCTGCTGATGTACGAGAGCGTCTGATAATTTGCTTGTCTGGCTTATGCCATGACAAAGTTGGAATTTGGGAGGCGATTGGAAAGAGAGAAGGAATCCAGTTATTTATATCATTTCTAGGTTTGTCTAGTGAGCAACACCAAGAGTATGCTGTTGAAATGTTGAAAATTTTGACGGCTCAGGTGGATGATAGTAAATGGGCTGTAACAGCAGCCGGGGGGATTCCTCCACTTGTCCAGTTGCTCGAGACTGGATCTCAGAAGGCCAAGGAAGATGCTGCCTGCATTCTCTGGAATTTGTGTTGTCACAGTGAGGAAATCCGTGATTGTGTTGAAAGAGCTGGTGGTATTCCAGCATTCTTGTGGCTTCTGAAGACTGGTGGACCAAATTCCCAGGACACATCTGCAAAGACACTTGTGAAGCTTGTCCATACAGCTGATCCTGCCACAGTTAATCAGTTGTTGGCTTTACTTCTGGGAGATGATCCAACTTCAAAGATTCATGTAATAAAAGTATTGGGTCATGTGCTCTCAAAAGCTTCACAAGAGGATCTTGTTCATAGAGGATGTGCCGCTAACAAAGGACTGAGGTCCCTTGTCGAGTCCCTAACATCTTCCAGGGAAGAAACAAAGGAGCATACAGCTTCAGTTTTAGCTGATCTGTTCAGCTCAAGACAAGATATCTGTGGTCATCTTGCGACGGATGACATTATTAATCCCTGGATCAAGCTGCTTACAAACAACACCCAGAATGTGGCCAAACAGGTGGCTAGGGCTTTAGACGCACTGTCCCGCCCGGTTAAGAAAAATAATAATAAAAAGAAGTCTTACATTGCAGAAGGAGATATTAAGTCACTCATAAAATTGGCTAAGAACTCTTCCATTGAGTCTGCAGAAAATGCGGTTTCTGCCCTCGCAAATCTTCTGTCTGATCCGGATATCGCTGCAGAAGCACTAGCTGAAGATGTTGTTTCAGCTTTCACAAGAATTTTGGCTGATGGATCTCCAGAGGGTAAGAGAAATGCGTCACGGGCACTTCATCAGTTACTTAAGAACTTTCCAGTTTGTGATGTGCTAAAGGGAAGTGCTCAGTGCCGTTTTGCTATACTTTCGCTCGTTGATTCTCTAAAATCAATTGATGTGGATAGCCCAGATGCTTTCAACATATTAGAAGTAGTTGCGCTCTTGGCAAAGACTAAGAGTGGGGTGAATTTCTCTTATCCTCCATGGACTGCCCTTGCCGAAGTGCCTTCAAGCCTGGAGACCCTTGTGCAATGCCTTACTGAAGGCCATACTCTTGTGCAAGATAAGGCAATAGAAGTTTTGTCCAGGCTTTGCTCTGATCAACAGTTTCTGCTCAGTGAACTTATAGTTTCAAGACCCAAGTCAATGGGGGTTCTGGCTGATAGAATAGTGAATGCATCCAGCTTAGAAGTGAGAGTTGGGGGGACGGCGCTGCTCTTATGTGCTGCAAAGGAAAAGAAGCAGCTGATCACAGAGACACTTGATCAGTCTGGTTTTTCAAAACTCTTGTTACATGCCCTCGTTGATATGATAAAGCACAATTCTACATGCTTTTCTCTAGAGACTGAAGTCCAGACACCTAAAGGTTTTTTGGAAAAAAAAGTTTTCCAGGATACAGGTAGTTTTTATTTTCCTGATCCAGCTAAAATCTTGGGTGGTACAGTCGCATTGTGGCTGCTATGCATACTCACTTCCGTTGATGCTAAGTCAAAGGTCATTGTTATGGAAGCTGGCGGACTTGAGGTGCTCTTGGGGAAGCTTGCTAGGTATACTTCCAGTCCTCAGGTAAATGTTTCTTTCTCGGACATCAAAAAATTATATGCTTCCTCATGTTTATTGGTTATGGGTATCCTACAGGGTACCTTCGTTGAGAATAAAATAAATAAGCCAACTTCTGAGTTGAGTTGTACAACTTTGCGGGGCGGGGTTTGGCTTTTAGGACCTTCTGTTAGTTAAGAGGTTCTGTTAAAGTAAATCTCACTTATTTATATCGTTACAGACTTGTCAAGCATGAATTGTGCATTTTGGTTTTGAATCACACTGCTCAATTTGTCTTAGGCTTGACTTGATTCTTACTTTTTTGTGGCAGAGATGCCTTGTATGATGAATTTTCCCCCTTGAAAGTAATCTTGAGCTAAACTATTTTACCAGGCTGAATTTGAGGATTCAGAAGGCATTTGGATTAGTGCTCTCCTCCTGGCTATTATGTTCCAGGATGACAATGTGTCCTTTTCTTCAACGACAATGCGGATCATTCCAACACTTGCAGTTTTGCTAGGATCTGATGAACTGGTAGATCGGTATTTCGCTGCCCACGCAATGGCTAGTCTTGTTTGTACTAGGAACAGAGGAATAGATCTGACAATTGCAAATTCAGGTGCTGTTTCTGGGATAATAAACCTTCTTGGCTATGTGGAATCGGACATACTGAACTTGGTTGCTTTGGCAAATGAATTTTCTCTGGTGAAAGAGCCTGATCAAGTTATTCTTCAACACCTTTTTGAAATTGAAGATGTGAGGCTTGGCTCCACTGCACGCAAATCTATCCCACTACTTGTCGATCTCTTAAGGCCAATTCCAGATAGGCCTGGAGCCCCTCAGTTTGCTGTCCAAATCCTGATTCGCATTGCTGATGGAAGTGACACAAATAAATTACTAATGGCTGAAGCTGGAGCCGTTGAAGCTTTAACAAAGTACCTTTCGCTTAGTCCTCAAGATTCAACTGAGTACGCCATATCTGAATTGCTTAGGGTATTATTTAGCAACCATGAGCTTAGACAAAACGAAATGGCACTAAGTTCCTTGAATCAGCTTATCGCAGTACTGCGGCTAGGTTCAAGAAGTGCAAGATACAGCGCAGCTGGGGCTCTGAATGAACTATTTGAAGCTGAAAACATAAGAAATTCTGAAATCGCCTGCCAGGCTGTTCAACCACTAATGGACATATTCGGTACTGTATCAGAAAGTGAGCAAGAGGTAGCTCTCTCTGCATTGATCAAACTAAGCTCAGGAAATACTTCGAATACAGCTCTTCTGATTGATGTGGAAGGAAGTCTGCTGGAAAACGTGATCAAAATCTTATCATCTGCTTCTGCTTCAGAGGAGTTAAAGATAAATGCTGCCAGACTTTGTTCTGTTGTTTTCTTGAATAAAAACATCAGAACAAGTCCATCCGCATCCGGATGCATGAAGCCTTTGATAACACTTATGCAGTCTGAAAGAAGTGCAGCAGTTGAAGCAGCAATTTGTGCTATTAAGATATTATTGGATGACGAGCAACATTTAGAACTAGCAGCCGCACATAACATTCAAGAGCTTCTTGTTGGCTTGGTTTCCGGAAGAAATTACGTTATTATTGAGGCTAGCTTATCAGCTCTCATTAAGTTGGGGAAAGACAGAGTACCACGCAAGTTGGACATGGTGGAAGCTGGAATAATTGAGCGATGTCTTGAGCTACTACCTGGAGCCTCGAGTTCGTTATGTTCTGCTGTTGCAGAGCTGCTTCGAATTTTAACAAATAGTGGAGTAATTGCGAGAAGACCAGATGTTGCAAAAACTGTTGAGCCTCTATTCGCGGTCTTGCTCCGGTCAGACTTGACCTTATGGGGGCAACATAGTGCCCTGCAAGCACTTGTAAACATATTGGAAAAACAGCAAAGCCTTGAAGCTTTTAGTTTTACACCCAGTGAAGCCATCGTGCCGCTGATTTCCTTTTTAGAATCTTCATCCCAAGCTATCCAGCAGCTTGGAGCAGAACTGCTGAGCCATTTTCTTACAATGGAAGATTTCCAGCAAGACATCACAACACAGAGTGCTGTTGTCCCTCTGGTCCGGCTTGCAGGAATTGGAATACTGAGCCTGCAGGAAACTGCGATAAAGGCGTTGGAGAAGATATCTGCTAGCTGGCCTAAGGCTGTTCTTGATGCTGGAGGTATTTTTGAGCTATCCAAGGTTATTCTTCAGGAAGATCCTCAGCCCCCTCTTGATCTATGGGAGTCAGCTGCTTTTGTTCTTTCCAACATTCTGCAGTATGATGCAGAATGCTTTTTCAGAGTTGAACTGCCAGTTTTGGTAAAATTATTGTTCTCGACAATTGAAGGCACAGTATTACTGGCTCTTAAAGCATTGATGCTTCATGAGAAGAACGATGCTTCAAGCACAGTACAAATGGCTGAGCTTGGCGCAATCGATGCATTGCTGGACCTCCTGAGATCTCATCAATGCGAGGAAGAGTCGGGAAGCTTACTTGAAGTAATATTCAACAATCCGAGAGTAAGAGAGTTGAAGTTATGTAAATATGCAATAGCACCACTATCTCAATATCTGTTGGACCCTCAGACAAGATCAGAACCTGGTAGGCTTCTTGCTGCTCTGGCACTTGGGGATCTTTCTCAGCATGAAGGGCTTTCTAGATCCAGTGGTTCTGTTTCCGCTTGTCGGGCACTCATTAGCGTGCTAGAAGAACAACCAACAGAAGAAATGAAAGTGGTGGCCATCTGTGCGTTGCAGAATTTTGTGATGAATAGTAGAACGAATAGACGAGCTGTCGCAGAGGCTGGTGGCGTATTATTAATTCAGGAGCTACTGCTCTCTTGCAATGCAGAAGTTTCTGGGCAGGCTGCACTAATGGTCAAATTTTTGTTTTCCAACCACACACTCCAAGAATATGTCTCGAATGAGCTTATAAGATCACTAACAGGTACTTTATTCAATTGAAGTTATACTAATATTATGTCCCTGTCACTCTAGCACTAAACTTTTTATATTCTGATTATATTTTTTGTCCTTATCTTCAACTGTTTGACATATCATGGTTGTGAACAGCTGCACTTGAGAGAGGCTTGTGGTCTACAGCAACTATAAATATCGAAGTTTTGAGAACCTTAAATGTGATTTTCTCCAATTTTCCTAAGCTCCGTGCCTCAGAAGCTGCTACTTTCTGCATCCCTCATTTGGTAGGGGCCCTCAAATCTGGTGTTGAAGACGTCCAGGGATTAGTATTGGATATTCTTTACTTGCTAAGGCACTCCTGGACGAATATGTCTTTAGATGTTGCAAAGTCCCAAGCCATGATTGCAGCTGAAGCAATTCCCGTCCTGCAAATGCTGATGAAAACATGCCCTCCTAGGTTCCACGACAAGGCAGACAGCTTATTGCACTGCTTACCAGGTTGCTTAACAGTGAACGTCATGCGTGCCAATAACTTAAAGCAGTCCATGGCAACCACAAACGCCTTTTGTCAATTAACAATAGGAAACTGCCCTCCACGGCAAACTAAGGTAAAGCAAACCCATCCAAGGAGAATATTGCACACTCCCATCATTGCCAAAAACTTTTTCTTTGTATCATTGGGTTTTTGTCTCTTTTTCTGTAGGTCGTTAGCAATAGCACAACTCCTGAATGGAAAGAAGGCTTTACTTGGGCATTTGATGTTCCCCCCAAAGGACAAAAGCTTCACATCATATGCAAGAGCAAAAGCACATTTGGAAAGGTAACATTGTAAAAATGAGCCACACTGTTCAAATTGCAGAGTTGGGATTCAATAAAGATCTTCAACATGTATTGTCTTAATTGGTCTTTGTCTAACACAACACATTCCTTGTCTGCAGACAACTCTAGGCCGTGTTACTATCCAAATCGACAAAGTCGTGACAGAAGGAGAGTACAGTGGATCCCTAAGCCTGAATCATGAAAACAGCAAAGATACTTCTTCCAGATCACTCGACATTGAGATTGCATGGTCCAATAGGACAACGGATGAGACTCATTGAGAAAACAAACTACTCAATCTTCACAAGCACAATGCACTTGGTCAAGGGAAGACTTAATCTGTCTAATGGCTGCATTTTGGTAGTAGAAGAAGGAAAGCAAACTCTGCAGCAGATGTATAGCAATACGTGTATATGAGTAATGAGTATGGTGTGTGAAAAGGAACGTAGAAGCAAAGAGTTCCTGCCTAGCAAGAAAGAAAGTCTTATTGTATAGGTTGTTTCTCTTCTTTTTTTGGTCTGCGATCTTCGGTATTTGTCAGTTTGTTCACAAAAATTCTTTCGCTCGGGGATCAACTAAGCAGCACGAAGTGCTCTGATTCCTGTAGCGATGTTTAAGTTATTTTACCTTGATTTTGTCTGGGTTCATTCATAGTTAGACACGACCACAAGATCATAACATATTTTGGTCAAGAAACTGAAAATTTCAAATGCAATGAGATGAGAGGATGACAAGGTGGCATTGAAACTCTTCATAGGAAATTTAAAAGCAAGGCTTTGGTCACATACGCCATAAAATGTACAGAGACTATCAGGAAAACATCACTGAGATAAAATATTCTGGCGGTTTGTTAAGGTGGCGAGCTACTGCGGGTTCCAAAATGGTAAAAACATGGTTTATTTTGCTGCATCAACAATGATAGACCGGGCATGTGTGAACGTAGAAATGATAGCTCCAAGCTGCAGTTTGTCGTTGCACCCAAAACTCAATCTGTACCTATAAACAGTAAAGCGACCGAAATTACGAAAACAATGTGGATAATACAAGCTTAAATACTCTACTCCAGGCAATCAGAATTTTCAGTTTAAAATGCAAAAGATACTAACTCGATGTCAGCCAAATCGTTTATCAGTTGAACGCTGACATGTGAAGGCATCTTGATTTTTAAAACAAACCTGATGGAGAAACAAAAGTCAGTTTACAGACGTACGGATAAAACAGCAGTAGAAGCAGCAACCAAGTATGTCACTCACATGGTAACCTCTCTGACGATATCAACAATGGCAAGTCCTTTTCTCGTTTTAATTTCTGAAATGTCTGCAGGGTGAAGTAATAATCAGGAGTCAGGACCATGGAAATATCAGTTATGGTTCAATACTTTTATAGCTCTCAGAAATGATATAGTACTTTTGTAGCACTCATCAAATGGTTTATTCAGAAGCCAGTGAGATATCTGCTCAATGTCCTTGGGCAATGGGTTTCCGGTGCAGAGGTAAACCTCTTCCTCTGTAATTTTCTTTGACTCTTTCTCTGTAATTTCCTTTGACGCCATATGCGTTGACTGCCCAACCAATAAATCCGTTAGAAATTTTTACAGATCCATTCATAGTGATTGACATGATTTAGATTTACAATTGAAGATTAAGAGACAGAACCAAAACGAAATATTACAGAACCTGCAAAATGTTCAATGCTTTTCTCATGTCTCCATTGCTCAGCCGTACAAGAGCTGCCAAACCACAATCACTAACACCAAGCCTAGTCCAATTTTAAAAAGGAAGCACAAAACAAAGGGTTAAAAAAACATATAATGAAGAGGGAGGATGAAGAAAACACAATAAGAAAGTTTACAAGACCGAAATAGCTATAATTCTCACCCTTCAGCTTCTATTACATGTTTCAGACGTTGACTCACATGAAGAGGATCAAGAGGAGCAAATCTAAATCGAGTACATCTCGACTGCAAAGCTGGGATGATCTTATTGACATGGTTTCCAATGAGGGCAAACCTAGTACTCTTTGTGTATTTCTCAATAACTTGCAAAATTTAAGAAAATAAGCATGCCAAAGATGTTAGTACCATGCTTAAGCAAAATAACCGAGAGAGCTAGGAACACAAGGTTTTACCTCTACGCAAGGCAAACTGAGCATCTTTTGTCATGGCATCTGCTTCATCTAGCAGAACCAACTTCACCGAAGATTTTCCTCTACAATCATGAATTTTAAATTTTTATATCCACACCAAACTTGTTAAACACAAAGATATGCTATATATATAGCATGGTGCTACAGTTACACATAGCTCATGCCATCACAATGCATTCGATATTATTGAGTAATAAAAGCCAGTTTTGAGGTATCTAAACTCTTATTATAATGATAAACAAATTAACCACGAAAATCATAAGGAAAGAAGGAATCATGATAGGATACTCACAAAGAGAAGCTCTGCGTGCTAGCGAAATCCTGAATCTGCTGCCTTACAACATCAATTCCTCTATCATCTGATGCGTTCAGTTCAAGAATCATATTACGGTACTTGGGTCCATATAGTTTCCGGGCGACGGCTAGAATGGTGGATGTTTTGCCTGTACCGGGAGGACCATACAAGAGAAGATGGGGCAATTTGTTCTCATTGGTCAGCCTATCAACTGTTTTAAAAACAACAACAAAACCTTCAGTGAGCATATAGGTAAGAAGCTATAACATGCATTAGCCTCTCAATCCAACCAAGAGAAGAAACTGGCATAGACAAATATGAACCTCGTTACAAGATAGTTTAATAGACTTTGTAGAAACAACATCACTTTCAATTCACTAAGCATAATCAGAGGCACACAATTTTTCTTTCAAATACTTTCTTAATTAGAAAAATACCCAAAAATATAGAAAACTGTAAATACTAAATCCCTAAACCCTAGGGTATGGAAATAGAGGGAGAGAGTGTATGGAAATAAAGTTCAATTACTCGTATCAATAATGTCACGATGTGCAGCGACGTCATCGAGCGACTGAGGTCGGTACTTCTCAACCCAAGGCGTCGCCTTACTCTGCGGCGGAGCACCGAATCCGGCGACATCTTTGCCCTTGTTAATCGGCTTGCGAGGCTGAATTTCGTCTACGTCAATGTCCATCGCCGACGTTATCTCAGTCATCTTCGCCGCCGTATAAGAAATTGCTTCAGAATCTATCTCGCTCAGCCCTAATTTCACTCTCTCCCGCTGATGGCGCCAAAACCCTCTAGGCTATAGCTTTTAAGGTTTCCTTCCGCCATTTTCTCTACCTTCGTTATGGAATTCCCACTTTACCCCCAAGAAATGAAGATTGTGCTGGGGCTATTTTCGTCAAAAGCTTCCGGTTACATATATAATTTCTACAGAACAAAACACTCGCACAAGTGAAAATTTCTGAATCTGCTTGCATTTTTGCTCTTCAAGAACAAAAAAAGTTTTTTTTTTGGATTGATTACATCTGATGACATAGACAAGGGGTATATATATATATATTCACAAAATATTTCCTTGTTTCTATGATAACAACAAAACCAAAAACCTCACTTAAAAGAACTCTTCTCTGTGTCAAAGCTCTCCATCTGAGACCAAGTTCTTGTTCTTAGAAGACTCACTTCCTGAGAAAAGCTCTTTTATCAAACCAAATCCTCTTGGATAAGCTTCCTCTGACAGATCTCCTTCATAGTAGTCATTCACACTGTTAACAGAATAGTTCAGAGGCCAAAAACACAAAACAAGAAGAAAACGATACAAATGATATATATCAAAAAGAGGTGAATAAAGGTTCAGACTTTGGAATTTTGTCACAGTCTGAAGAAATCCATCCAATCCTCTGCTTCTCATTGTCATAGATCACCATTATCCCTTGGAAAGATATGTCTATCACACACATAGACACGAGATATTGTTGTCTAGTTATGAACAAAAGAAACCCCAGAAACAACAATTATCGCAAACTTAGTACATCTATTTACTTACCTCCAACGATATTGTAGCTGTCGAGCCCGACTTCAGTTCCGTTCAGAATACCCAAACATACATTTCCTTTTTCCTAAGAAAACAAATCAGAAGAAACAGACTTCTCAGCCATGGATTTTTATGGAGATACTACAAGTCATATCTAGTCAGTATATACGTGACTTACAGTGATAATGAGATACGACTCAGGTGGAACCTGAAATAGCTGACCATTCTTTTGATACCCAAATCGTAAAGTAATAGTCTTGAAGTATTTCTTGACCTCATCAAGTGACTTCAAAGGTTTTTTGCCTTTCCAGCAGACCGGTAAGCTTTTATCATCTTTTGTGTCCGTCAAAGGCTTCCCATTCAAGTCTTTTCTTATCTGTAAATGCACACCAAATTAATCATAAAAGAGTGGTAAAACACAAACGGTGAAGCTAATCTTTTTTTTCCAGAGAAGAATTTGTCCCATACAAGATCGAGAATCGCTTGGTATGCTTCGGCGTTGAAGTAAGTGTACGAGCTTCCACTATCGAAAACTACGTTAATGCCTTTGACACCTGTGGTCTTGTCGTTAAAGAGAAGCTCTGCTGGTCCAGTCATGTAGTTTTTACTAAAGAAAAAAGTCGCACCATGAGTTTCAATTTCTGGCAACTATAAAAGTGTGAGTAAACAAGTGGCAGCTATAAAGAATATAATGCTCAAAGATTGCTCACCTAGCTGAATTAGTAGCCAATGAAGTCCATGTAACTCCAGAAGAAGGAACAAGCTCATCTCCAATAGAGAGAAAGCCTTTACCAGTATGACTTAAGCAATGCACAATCACATTCTTCGTTATCCCCAAGGACTTAAGCTGAGTTGAGATGCCTACTTTCCCTCTTCCCAGGCCAAGGATTCCCGCTGTTGGAGGAGGAGGGTGTGGACCAGGATTCTGCTGATCATACCCACATCTAAAAGAGAAATTGATTCCAAAATCAGGAACTTGTACAACCGCGAATTTAGTGTTTTTCTTTTCTAATGTGTTTAAAAAAGGTAGAAGAAAACTAACCCAAATGTCAAATGAGGATTCATAATGGAGCCATTTGCGAGTTTTAGAGGAAACTCATCAGTTACAAGTGCACCAATAGATGATGCATGGTCGGAGTATCCGATTTCATAGTCACATTGATCCTCAGGGTCATCACAAGGTCTATTCTGGGTAAGGTCGAGGCCAGAACACAAGAGGTGTGAACAAGGCAAAGTGTTGTGATTGGGCTTGTACTGCTTAGCACGAGGCTGAGAAGAAAGAGATAAATAAATTCTAAGATAGAAAAGACCCTTAGCTTATTATGTCACACACTAAAGCATATCAACGCTTACCTTTGTGCAACCGTTGCACGGTGCATCACACTGAACCCAAGTCAGGTCACTGCCAGTGTCAATGTCCAAGTCAAAGAGCTTAGGTGGGTTGCCGATGTTAAGCAACACATAATAGTACCTGCAAAGAAGAAGTAGATGATTACTTCATCAATCAAATTGGGCGTTTTCAATACAAGGGAGTATCAGAATCAACATTGCCCCAAATCTTCAATTCGTGAAAGTAGCAAGCTTTGAAATCTCAAAGATCAATAGAACGAAGAATTCACATCAAAGTTCTCTTGAAATAGATTACAAGTGAAGAGTTCCCACAGAGCCACAAAGTATCCGCACCAATTCAAAATCCAGACATGAGTCAACACAAAGAAAGTAGCAAGAAACAGAGAAATTGAAACAAAAAGATGTGAAATTTGGCACTTACCCAAGAGGATACACATTCCCGGAGACAGGAAACACGACGGAGGAGCCAAGTCGACGATTCTGTAACTTCACTTGTTGAGCCGACGAGTCTTTGGTAGTAGCATCAGAGGGTTGAAAGCGAGCACAGAGGAGGAACACATAGAAGACGAAGACTAAGAAGAAGAAGTGAAGGTTTCTTGCCTCCTGTTTCGGATTCATCTCCTTTTTTTTTGGCCCCAAGAAAGCGAAACCAAATCCCCAAAAAGGTTTCTTTTTTGACACAGGGCAACAAAAAGGAGGGCTCCTTTCTTTGTAGAAATTGCTGCTTCCTAATAACAAAAAGGTTTATTTGTTTATATATATCTCTGACTCTCTCTCTCACACAACAATTTCTTGCAACTTACAACAGAGGTTTCTTTGAGTTCCCGTAAGCTAAATTGAGAAACTTGGCATTTGGCTAATCGAAGCTCAACGCCCAACTCTCACTACACTTGGCGTATAAAGCACGCGCCAACCAGGATTGATTAAAAGGCCTAACGAACTTCAAATGTATAAGGCCCAATATACTCGGCCCATAACTATTCAGATGTCAGGCGCGTGAGGTTCAGCTGATAAGAAATCATTATCCAGTTATGAGTGGGTGACTCCAAATAGATCCAACTGGCAACGCATTATTGACACGTGTCTTTTTTAATTCTCTCTTCCGGCGCTTTCTCTCCGCCGTGACAATGGCTGTTTCTCTCTCCGCCGCCTCTCACTTACTCTGTTCCTCCACCAGAGTATCTCTTTTCCCCGCCGTCACCTCCTCCTCGTCCCCTGTCGTTGCTCTTTCTTCCTCTGCATCGCCACATTCTCTGTCTTCTCTTCGAAGCGTCGCGTCTTCTTCTCTGTTTCCTTGCACCACCTCCTTCGTTCTTCAGGTATTCTTCCTTCAGTTGCGAGATTCATACTTTTGTAAATTTCTCTCTGAACATAACATTTTCTGTTGATTTTAGAGAAAACATCCGATCAATGGGACGAGCACGAGGATGGTTTCACCAAAATGTGCGGCTTCTGATGCAGCTCAATTGAGAAGCGCTAAAGAAGATATCAAAGTTCTTCTCCGGACTAAGTTTTGTCATCCCATTTTGGTAAAGTATCTTTCTCTTCTTTTGCAGCTGGATCACGATTCTACGGCATTGGTACTACAGATATTGGAGGAAGAGAATTGAATTTTGTGAGTCATGTTGCTTTGTGTTTGACAAGGGTAACATGTTTCAATGCAGGTTAGATTGGGATGGCACGATGCTGGTACATATAACAAGAACATTGAGGAGTGGCCACAGAGAGGTGGAGCTAATGGAAGTCTTAGGTTTGAGGCTGAGCTTAAGCATGCTGCAAATGCCGGTACTGTTTCCAACACAATTCACCTGCGTTGTGGGCTTGAGACTTTGTTTTTGGTCTTTATATTCTACTTTTGACTTTTCCAGGTCTGCTTAATGCTTTAAAGCTTATTCAGCCTATCAAAGACAAGTATCCTAACATCTCTTATGCGGACTTATTCCAGTTAGCTAGTGCCACTGCAGTAGAGGTTCTGAAATCCTGATGAAATTATGTTGGGCTTGGCTTAGCAGGAAACTACGTAGGTCTAAAAACTTTACTGCTTTTAACTTCAGGAGGCTGGTGGTCCTGAAATCCCGATGAAATATGGGAGAGTTGATGTCGTAGCACCTGAACAGTGTCCAGAAGAAGGAAGACTCCCTGGTTAACTAATCCTTTCCATTGTCTGTTTCATGGCTTCAATGAGTTTGTTTCAGATTCTATTATGGACTAATTAAGTTAACGAGGTCATATGTGCTGTGTTTTAGATGCTGGACCTCCCTCACCAGCTGATCATTTGAGAGATGTATTTTACAGAATGGGACTAGATGACAAGGTGGTTTTGATTCTGTTCCATGTCAAACATGAATATTCTCAATTTCTGACAGTCGAGGTTGTTTTGTCAAGCAGGAAATAGTTGCCTTGTCTGGTGCACATACCTTAGGAAGAGCCAGACCAGACCGTAGCGGTTGGGGAAAACCTGAGACAAAGTACACGGTATAATAAACGACAAAATGAACTCCCTTATGTTGTTGTTGCAATGATAGTGTAGAGATGTTATGGAAACGTTCAACATGGCAGAAAACTGGACCAGGAGAAGCAGGAGGACAGTCATGGACAGTGAAATGGCTTAAGTTCGACAATTCTTACTTCAAGGTCTAACTCTCTATCTTTCTTAGTAACTTGGTTTGAGACTGAAGAAGAGTTTTCTGAATCATTGACTTCTATGACTTTGCAGGATATCAAAGAAAAGAGGGATGAAGATCTTCTGGTGTTACCCACTGATGCTGTACTATTCGAAGATCCTTCATTCAAGGTATAAAGTATAAACAACAGTGATTGCTAGAAAGATGCCTCAGAAGTAGTAGTTCAGTGTTAATTAAGAGGAAATGTTTTCAAAAAAATCTGTTTTACAGAACTATGCGGAGAAGTATGCTGAAGATCCGGCTGCATTTTTCAAGGATTACGCTGAAGCTCATGCCAAGCTCAGCAATCTCGGCGCAAAATTTGATCCTCCCGAGGTACAAGGAAAGAGAGAAAATCTAATCTCTTCGCACTTGTGTTAACCTTTATGAACCATTCGTTAAAATCCAGTTCAGTGACTTAAACCATATAGTCTAAAACAGCTAATGTGTTACTACAATACTAAACAGGGCATTATCATTGACAACGCTCCAGAGAAGTTTGTAGCTGCGAAGTATTCCACGGGAAAGGTTTGTCCTTTCTAAACAAAAATGTGTTTGTGTAGCTTATTCTAATATACATGTTGAGGAAACGAGTCTTGTTTTTAATTTTCCAGTAATATTTTGCAGAAGGAGCTTTCGGATTCGATGAAAAAGAAGATAAGAGCAGAGTATGAAGCAATTGGAGGAAGCCCAGATAAGCCATTACCCACAAATTACTTCCTTAACATCATAATTGCCATTGGCGTTTTGGTCCTCTTGTCCACTCTCTTTGGTGGTAATAACAATTCCGATTTCTCTGGTTTCTAATTGACAAATTAGAAAAATTGTATATTTCGATTTCTCTTACGTATATACATAATCACGTGGTGATCAAATATCTTTGCAAACAAACACATCATTGTTATAGTTTGCTTGAATAAAATCACCTTTAATAACATTGTTTATTTGGTGGTTTTAGATTTTGGGATTAGTGTGAGTTTTTCAAAATAAAGTGTGTGAATCACTACTACGCCTTTGCACGAATAGATTCGAACATTAAAATAAGGTTTGGTTGGTGTTAGTTAATCTTTTTTGAGATTCATTAAAGATTCTTCTCTTTTTGGATACTAAAAAAAGATAAGTCTTCTCTCTTGAATTAGGTTAACCATCGTACTTGTTTCTATATCTATACAAACAAAGGTGATTATTTTTTTCATGAACCGATTTAGAGAACTTTTTCAACACCACGTGTGACATAGTAGACGTGCATAGTTATGCTTGATCGATCCTTTTTTTTTTCAAGAATTTTAATGAAGACTAATACTCCCTCTGTTTCACAAAAAGTGTCATTTTAACACATTTCACACAAATTAAGAAATCATTGAATTATACATATATGCCCCTATTTAATAAGTGATTAATGATTTAAATTCAATGAAAATTAGCTTTAAGTTAAGGGTAAATTAGGAAATTTTGTGTAAAAGTCACATTGAAAATGTAGAATGACACTCTTTGTGAAACAAAAATAAAACTCTAGAATGACACTCTTTATGAACAGAGGGAGTATTTAGTTGTTGGGAAAAATGAATGTTTACTTTACAACAACCAACTTTGAAATATTAAATTCTGAATCTAGAAAGATGTATGAATTTTGGTTGGTATGGAAAATGATGTTTTCTTCTTCTAGTGACGCAAGAATGCTTACGATGAGCCGATGGGATTGGTCAGACTCAATCAATCCCATTGTTCCAATCGATATTTGAAACTTTTTCTTCTTTTTCTTTTGTATACAATGATTGAGTTCTTATTTCCTCTGCTTTTTTTTATGACGAAATTAATTTCATCATAGTATATGGCAATCATGTAACTAGAATATTGATATTGAGGATATAAACCATGCTATGGATTTGGGCGTTTGAAGTGCATGTGAGCTCGATTTTGGCAGCACATGTCCTACTTTTTCATCCAATAGTCTTAATGTCTCTCATCATGATATAGATGCATTATTTTGTTACAAATGCATGTGGGATATTTCATTATGAGCTCGATTATGGGATTTGATTTGAACATGAAAAGATATGTCATTATTTGAAGTTAGTTTCATTACTTTTTACAAAAATGGTTATTTTGGATGTTTTTCAATAGGAGAAAGAAAGTAAGAAGAGAGGGACAATCAACGACATTAGGATATGGGGGCAATGTGCAATTTATTAAGAGAACTTTTTTACGGTTGTTGTGTGCACAAAAATAGAAATAATGGCAAAATTGGTAGGGACCAAAACTAAACAAATCTTAATATTGGGGGAAAATGGTAAAAACAAACTAAATTCCCGCGTCATTGTGAAAAAGACAAATACACGTCTTCTTCTTCGTTCTCAAGTCTCTCCCGGTGAATTGTGAAGACTGAAGAATGTCAGATATTAAAAAAAAAGTGTGTCTTTTTCATATAGTATAGTTTTTTCTTTCCTCGTCGCGGCCACTTTCTTCTTCCCCAATTCAATTCGCAATAAATATTTTGCCCAGATCCCCTAGCTTTCTTCGCACATCTTTATCCATTAAATTTAGTAAAAAAGTTGAAAATTTAATTGCAAGACGACGACTTTGAAATTTCCTATCTTTTTCTGTTTTCTTTCACTTGTCTCTCTTCCCTCTGATTCGTGTTTTCACGTTTTCATATAAATCAGCAATCAGCAATCACTCTCATATAAAACTCGTTTTTACATTCTTACAAAAATTATTCTTCAAAAATCACAATTTTGCTCTGTTCCTTCCCAAAAAAGTAGACTTTGCTCTGTTTCTTCAAAAAAAAAAAAAGGTAAACTTTGCTCTGTTCCTTCCATGTCCGATGATGATCGGAGTGGAAGAAGAATGAGATTTGAAACAAACGTCTAGAGTTCCGACGAAGACGTTATGGGTTGCGGAGGATCAAAAGTAGATAATCAACCAATTGTGATTCTCTGTAGAGAACGGAGGGAACTGATTAAAGCGGCGTCGTATAATCGCTCTGCTCTCGCCGTCGCTCACCTAACTTATTTCCAGTCTCTCTCCGACGTCGGCGAAGCTATTCAACGTTTCGTTGACGAAGAAGTCGCAGCTGGTTTTTCGTCGTCTTCTTCGCCGGATTCTCCAGTTCTTACACTTCCGTCCGACGAA